GCTTCTTGTCCCCCAGTACCCCACCTCCCAACTTGGGGCCAGCCTCAGTCTGCAGCCCTAGGTTGTCCGTGCTTACTTTTTGGCACAGAATCAAGAATCTGCTGTGCTCTCCTATTAGTTGGCCAAGCAATCAAGGGACCTTTGAAGGCCTTTGCCTGCTCCTGCAAATAAAAAAAAATCGGATTTGAACCCATCGCTTGCCTCCCAGTAGAAACTCGTGTTCTGCTTTCTTTTGTGGCGGGTCCCGCTGTGTCTCTTTTGGGTGTGCTGCCTGGGTTGGCAGGGCCACAGTTCTGCTCCTCAGTAGCGAGTGGCTGGGGTGGGTGGTGCTGGGATGGCAAAGCCTGCCTGGAGCATGCAGTGGGCCTGGGCTTTCCCTGGCCCCCAGCTGCCTGAGGTCTCCGCCCCTCTGCCTCTGCAAGCAAACATGCACTCCCTCCTAGGGACCCCGGTCCCCACATCCCTGTCGTTCCCCACTCTTCGCCTCATTTCAGGCCTTCTCATGCTTCACTCCATGTCACTCCTCTCCAACCATGCATCTCTCCCCAGTTACAATGTTGCTCACTTCCTCTGTGCCTCTTTCGTCAATTTAAAAATGATCTAACAAAATATTTGTTTGCTTACTTGATTGTTGATTCTCCCCACTTGACTGAAAAATGAATCAGGGAAGATCCCTTGCCAGCTACTCCCAGAGACTAGCACGCTGCCTGCCTCTTAGTAAATACGTATTGAATAAATATTTGTTAAATGAATGGAGGAATGAGTGAATGAATGGATGAATGAACAAACGAATGATAGTACTAAGTACCCTGGATTATAAACGTTTTAGTTTCCCCCCCTAGACAGAGAGAGGCTTGTATGCAGGACACTGTTGATCATGGCGCTACGTCTCTATTGCCTATACAGGCTTGACACTTGCAGTAAATGCAAGTTGAATTGAGAACAATCAGATCAGAGGAGACAGATCAGGACTTTACAGGCAGACTGGATACCCAGGAGGCAGCCCTCACAGGCAGACTGGACACAGATAAGCTGATGTGGCAGGATGTGTCTCAGGAGATGGGGCAGAGGGCAGCTTCACGAGAACTTGCAGACTTCCATGCAGAAGGAGCAGAGTGGGATACAGAGAGAAATCCAGCCTAGGATTCCAGCCAATTCTAGTCCCAGTTTCCTGTAAGTGGGGTGTGACCTTGGGTAAATCACCTCTTCTCTATGGGCCTCAGTTTGCTTATCTGTAAGATGAGTGGGACAGACCAGACTCTTTGTAAGCTTCCTTTCAGCTGAAACATTGCATGGTGCAAAGTCTGACATTAGAAAATAATGCCAATTAAAAGGGAAGGTAGCAAGCACTGTGCTCTGTCTGGAGGTCTGTGGTCTGAATTTGGTTTATGCCAGGCTGGGCCACACCGCGCCCCACCAGGCACATTCCTATACATGCACACCGTGTGCAGACAGAGGCCACGCCAGCCCAGGGCCCATCTCTATAGCCAGAGAAGAGACCAGTGAAGAGCAGCAGAGGAAGTGCATGGTCAAGGCTCCCTGGATGAGGTCATGTCCAGAAAAAGACTCAGGGCCAGAGGGGAATGAGGCCATGCTCCGGCAGTCTGCGCCCTCTTCCACCAACAGCTCAGGGAAAACCCATCTCCCAGAGTCTTAGGCAGAAGTTCCAGGTTGGTATTTCCTTCCTCCTGCCTAGAAATAGAGCAGCCTGTCCCATGGCCACTAGAGTAATCTAATTTTCATGAGGAGGTAGAAGTAAGCTACACCTTCCTTATAGTCAGGGTCAGGGAAATCCCAGCATGACATCCCCTCCCCAAACCAGGGGTTGGCATTTGCAGGAAATGTAAGTTGAGTGGAGTAAAATTAAATCAGGGAGCCAGATCTGGGCTTCCCAGGTGTGACTGATGCCCAGGAGGCACCCTCTGTGTGACAGATCAACTGCCAGCACTAGGACAGGGAGGTACAGCTCTCGAGCTATGGCTGGTTTTGACATTTTAAATGATTACATTTTAACAGGTTATTTAAGAACCTACAATAATAGCTTCAACTTTGCCTTTTGGCCTATAAAGCCTAAAATATTTACTATCCGACTCCTTTCGGAACTTTTGCTGACCGCTGCCCTAAACAATTGCCAAGTCCCATGTCGTCCTACCCCCGCCGCCGCCATCAGTAAACTCCGAACTCCCACTGAGGCCCCGGGGCGGTCCCAGCCCTTGACTCTGGACTCCACCTCCAAACGATGGCGATGGGGACAGGGCAACCGTTCCCCTCTAGCCCACTACTCCCATTTCCCTCATCCCAAATGCCCTCGCTCTTCCTAGCCACCCTTCAAAGTATCCAGAAGCTTCTCTTTTCTACTCCCTTCCTCCTCACCCCCCACCCCCCGATAGATAATGCTTCATTTCAGAAGCACCTACAGGCACTTGTCACATACTGTCTTGCATGATTTGTTTTTGGTTTGCACTGATTGCTTCCCCAGTGTGACTGGAAGCCATAGGAAGGCAGGGAACACATCCTAATGTTGCTTCTGTATCCCCAGCACACCTAGCAATGGTCGCCAGGGAGCTGTTGAGTAGACATGCACAGCTGGGTCCAACTCCAGAGAAGAGGACTTGAACATCACCCAGGGCTGCACGCCGCTGTGCACAAGCCTCCATTTCTGGAGGGGACTTAGAGCAATGTGTCCCTGCACCGAGAGAAACACTTTGCTCCCTCCACTCCGAGACTGGAAGTGCTCGCATCATTAACACTAGAATCACTCAAAGCCCATCTCTACAGAAAGATTCTTCAAGCTGGTGCTCTGTTTCATTTTCCCCTCCAGGGAGTGTCCCAGGCAGGGTGAGCCAAGGAGCTGGGGCTCTGAAAGCATGGCAAAGATTTTTTTTCTAAACCTGTCATTGTTCAGGGTTCAGTGAGCATATGGGCAGGACAGGAAAAAAATAAGGAGTGAAGAAGTGGGGCCAGAGGCTCTGCAGGAGAGAAGCTGCGCTCACCCAAGTGTGCGACACAAAGCCCAGGCCTGCTCTGCATGCCGTGGCTGCCAAAGCTGCTGGATTATAAACCCAGGGATGGTTTCCTGCTGCAGGAGCCAAGAAGCAGCATCTGGATAAAAAGCTTGGCTGAGGCCACTTGATCTAATCTCCTCAGGAAGGTAAGGGCTGTGGAAAATCAATGACAGCAGAGAAGGGGAGGGAGGAGAGGACAGGAAGGGCCCCTCACCTCAGGTGGCCTGGGTAAGAGCCTTGACATTCATGTTCCCTTCCTGCTAAACACGTGCACAGGCAAACCATGAGGTCTAAGTGAGATGGTTGGGCCTGTTCCAGAACCACAGCAGCAGGTGCACTGAGAGGACAGAGAGATTGAAATATGTGCCCTTGGTGAGTGTCCCTCTCGGTGTGCCAGGACAGATACCATGTCACTGGTCCCCAGGATGGGAGGCTGCAGCAGGAGACCGGGGTACCTGACTCTGGGGGGTCCCTCTGGAACCATCTGGAACCATCTGGATCCCCTTTGTAAACCTGCTCTGTACACAAAATAGGGAGCCTCGCTCTCTAATTTCCTCTACTCTGTCCCTGAAGACTTGCATAAGCTTGCACCTATTTACCAGACATTTAAGATGCAATTTGTTCTATTTGGACCAACATCTGTTGGGTACATGGACACATCTAAGATCTGGCAGCTCTCTCATTGCTGCTTAAGCCTAAAGAAGCTGGTCTTCAGGTCAAAGGTGGTGACTCCCCCTTTGTCATTAATCATGGTAGAGCTGAGGAGTGACCCAGGCCCCATCACTAGCTGTGTACCTAACTACACACGGCAGCTTTAAAGGCAAGGGAACTGGAGGTGAGACTGTGGAGCCGAGCTTCAGAAAGAGGCCCTGCTTTCAGGCAGATTGTAAATTATAAACAAATAAGGTGCCTCTGTTCTTCTTCCTCAGCTTCAGCATGTAATGAAAAACAACAGTGCCCGGCCTGCACAACCCTTCTGTTTCCTCCTCAGATCTGCTGTTAGCAGTTGCTCACTGGAAAGGACTCCAGGCAGTACAGACACTGGCTTTTACGATTCTGTTGGCATCTTATTTAAATCCACAATTCCCAGACATCAATTCAGTAGGTCCTCCCTCGCCCCCACGGAGACCGGGATGCACCCTCAGAACCAGCCATCAGCTCAGCATTGTCACAGAGGAGGTGCGATTGTGGACCACCAGCCCACCCTGGCAAGGATGTGGAACAACCAGTCTTTGGATTATTCAGCAGAAAGAGCGACAGCAGGAACCCCGAGCCCCATGCAGACAGCTAATCCCAGAGAGAAGCTGCAGCCAGTGTTACACCTGCTATGATGCCTGCCATAACCATCAATGAAGAGGGGACTAAAAGCTTCCTTCTGAGTTTAGGGATTATTCAGGGCAAGGCTATAATCTGTAGAAACTGGCCTGTAATGTGGACAAGCTCACCCTTCCTTTTGGTTTCTCGTGGCCTCTGTCCACCATAAAGGCAGCGCTTTCTGCTCAGCCACCGTTGGCAGGGAAAGTATAACAACAAAGCGCCATTCCCTCCCTCCAGGACTTTGCACTTTTGTGAAGAGCCTTCATGTCTGTGCGAATCAGGCTTGTTTCTCAGAGCTGTTGAGAGCCATGATATGTAGCGCTTAAAACATGCCAGCAAAGGAGAGTCCAGAAATCCAGCCCCAGGAGACCGCAGCGGGCGTGGAGTGTGATCATCCTCTGCCTTTTAGTTGCATCCACACTCCGTGCTAACGGCTGGGTCTATGACCACGCCAGCAGACAGCGCCTTGCAGGGTATCCATGTCACAGACAGCCTGAGACAAACAGAATTCCCCCCGCCATCTCTGAGGCACAGAGGGGCCCGGGAAAAACATGTTGATGAGCAATTCATTAGCTTTCTATACTTTCTATGCCAGTTAAGGTGGCATTTGCTCTCACTCCAAAACCAGAAATGGCAAATGACAGACTATTTTTAAAAATTTCCAAAAAATACAACAGCTGTAGAAAAACTAACACTTGCCTCAACCAAGTAACATTTTATTTCCTGGGATAAAAAAAAAAGAATGAATGATCAGAAGTCTCCCTCCAACATCATTAAAATGCTTTTCAAAGAATGTTACAAGAATTGTTTAAGGCGCACAGAAAAAGTCAGACTTGTCTTTCTTCCAGAATATTCCCTGCCCTAGACGCAAAGCACCGATACCACATCCCAGAAAAGAGAGAGGCTTGCAGACACAGGAACCAGAAAAGCCGTAACCAGGGTCTCTGGCTCTAATATAAGCATCATAGAAAAGCATCACAGTAACTCTCTCTTCCATAAATACAACATATGTCTTGAAAATATATCCAAAATATCTTCATCTGAAACTATAGTACAAAAATCCACTTACCGGCCATAAAAATAATATTCCCCCTATAATAAATATAATCATATGTAAAGCAAATTTGGAACACATTGGGGGGGATTACAAAATCTCTTGGGATCTGGGCTATTTAAAGTTATTTTTGTTTGGGTTATCCCCCTTTTGGGTATAGGAAACTGGCTACAAATACATCCATCTCACAGCGCTCACCATTTCAACAGCTCTGCGTCATGGAATGTGGTGCTTTTTAAAAATAGGCGACCCTTGGTGTCATGGCAAGAAGAGGAAAAATGGGGGGATCCAGAGAGGGAGAACGGGAGGGAAGGAGTAAAAGAGGGACAGATGTAGGTTACAGGGTGGCATTGAAATACTCTGTGGTATAAAGTAGATATGCAGGTTCAGGACGCCTCCATCGTCCCCCACCCCCGCTACCAGTCGCCTGGATTTCCCCTTACAGATCTGTCTCCCGGCTGCTGTCCAGGCAGAGGGCATACAGGGACCTCCGCAAGTCCACATTGCTCTTGGCCTTGAGGTTACACTTCTCTAGGGGGCAGCTGCCCCTTCGGGCTCCATCCGCATTCTCCAGGGATCCCCTAGCCTTGCAGAGGGACCCCTTGCTCCAGCTGGCCTTCCGCTGGCCTCTGCTGTCCAGCCCTGCCCCCTGGCTCTGGCTGCCCTGCTCTTCCTTAAGGACTGCCTGCTCCTCATGGTCCGTCTCCCGGTGGTAGAAGTAGTTGAAGTTGGAGACAATAACTGGCACAGGTAGGGCGATGGTGAGGACACCAGCGATGGCACACAGCGAGCCGACGATCTTGCCCCCCACAGTGACAGGCCTCATGTCCCCATAGCCCACGGTAGTCATGGTGACTACTGCCCACCAGAAGGCATCCGGGATGCTGGAAAAGTGGGTCTCCTGGTTGTCAGCCTCTGCAAAGTAGACGGCACTGGAGAAGAGGATGACGCCGATGAAGAGGAAGAAGATGAGCAGGCCCAGCTCCCGCATGGAAGCCTGCAAGGTCTTGCCCAGGATCTGCAGCCCCTTGGAGTGGCGGGAGAGCTTGAAGATGCGGAACACCCGAACCAGGCGGATCACTCTGAGGATGGCCAGGGACATGGCCTGCTGCCCATTCTGGCCACCCCCTCCTCCGCCCCCTGGCTGTTGCTCTGCCAGCTCGGTGCCCAAGGTGATGAAGTAGGGGAAGATGGCCACCACATCGATGATATTCATGATGTTCCGAGAGAACTCTGCCTTGCTGGGGCAGGCGAAGAAGCGTACAAGCAGCTCGAAGGTGAACCAGACGACACACGTGGTCTCCACAATGAAGAAGGGGTCAGCCAAGGTCCTGGGCAGGAGAGGCGCCACCGTTGGGCCAGAGGGAGGCGCCATGGCCCCGCTGCCATTGGTCCCCCTGGCGGCCCCAGGAGGCTGATGGGGCACCGGGGGATGGCGGAGCAGCTCGCGTTCATCCCTGAACTCAGGCAAGGTCTCCAAACAGAAGGTGATGATAGAGATGAGAATGACCAAGACAGAGACAATGGCAATGGCCCGCGCGGACCCCGAGCTTTCCGGGTATTCGAAGATAAGCCACACCTGGCGCTGGAACTCGTTGCGGGGCAGGGGCTTCTCCTCTTCTTTGATGAAGCCCTCGTCCTCCCGGAAGCGCTCCATGGCCTCGTCCCCGAGCTGATAGAAGCGGATCTCATCTGCGAACACGTCCAACGAGACGTTGACCGGCCTCCGCAGGCGGCCCCCCGACTGGTAGTAGTAGAGGATGCCGTCGAAGCTGGGCCGGTTGCGGTCGAAGAAGTACTCGTTCCTCAGGGGGTCGAAGTAGCGCAGGCGCTTGGCTGGGTCCCCCAGGAGGGTGTTGGGGAACTGCGCCAGGGTGCCCAGCTGTGTCTCGAAGCGCAGCCCGGAGATGTTTATGAGGACGCGTTGGTGGTGAAGGGACCCTGCGCCCGGCGCGTGGTCTTCCGCCATGCCCAGGGTGGGGTCGCCTTCTCCCTCCTCGTCCTCCGGAGGCTGTCTAGGCTGCGGCGGCTCCTGGGGCAGCGGTGGCAGAGGCCGCCCTCCCGGGTCCGCGCTCCTCTGCGTGCCGCGCCCCCTTGGCGCCGGCTCTTTGGGTCCATCGCTGAGCCCAGCCGTCGAGGGGCGCTGGAGCTCTCCCCCCCGAGCCTCACCTCCTCCTCTGACGGTCATGGCACTGCCGTTCTCCAAGGGCACCAGGGCAATCTCCATGGCCCAGGGACAGGGGGCATGCTGCGCCCCTGTCAACTGGCTCCCGCGCCCCCACTCCCGCCCCGGGGGACGCCTGGCGTCGGGCTCTGCTCTCGTCTTCGGGGGCCCTACCGGACGGCGGGCTGCGTTTGCTGGCGCGATCCCTTCGCTTGGTCCTGACGTCAAGAAGCCGCTGCCCTGCTCTCTGCCTCTTTCTCCTTTCTGGCAGCCCGTTACCAAGCAGCCAAAAGCCTCCTTCCAGCAGATGCAACCTTCAGCCGCCCCTCTCCGGCGGCGGGCGGCGCTTGGCCTCCACCCTGCGCGGCTTCCCCGCCCCCTCCCCTCCTCCCCCGCCCGCCTCCCCTCAGCGGGACGGTGGCCGCGGCCTTCTCCCCGGAGGGCGCAGCTGGGGCCGCGGGCAAGGGGAGGGAGGGGGGCTGAGAAGGGCGCAGCCAGGCGGAGGGAGGGAGGGAGGGAGAGAGGGAGGGGAGAGGATGGAGGAACAGGTTGTACCGCGAGCGCTGAAACTCCAAGGGCAACCAGATGAGAATAGCTCTGGATTTCGGTTCACCTGGGAACCTGCGGAACGGAGAGTGGACTCAAGGGAAATGAACTGCCTTGGGTTGGAGGGAAGAGGCTTTGAGCTAAGGTGGAATAGGAGAGACTGGAGACAACAGTCCTCTCTACACTTCCCCTTTGGAGGGATAAGGGTTCTCTCGTCTCTGGGAAGAATTACAATTCAAGACCCATAGCTCGGCCACGCCCCGTGACTTCCGTAATTCTTCCCCAAAACAGATAAAGATATATCTATTTCTGTCTCTGTATCTATCTCCAGACTCCTGGAGCAGCGTCTCTCTTCCCATCTTCCTACAAATCCACCAAAAGGTAACGCCTGAAACCTTGCAGCAAGGCACTGCCCCTGCTTCCCAGTCCAGACAGGGGTGGTCAGCGGGACAGGCCCAGTGCGACAGCCCCAGGCAGGCAGCTGCTCTGAAGATTCCACGCCTTGTCTCATGTCCCTGCTGACACCCAACCCTGCCTCCGCAACTCCCTTCGCAGAAACCATTAACAGGGACGGAAGGAGAGAGAAAAGGATCCCAGGAGAGCTGTTCCTGCTTGGTGAAGCTCAGAGCTGGCAGCAGCAGCAGGTCTGTGCGGGGGGTGGGGGCTAGCCCTGGTTTATGAGAGGGAGCCAGGGAGGCTGTGGAATCCCCAGGGCTGGAGAATTCCCAGGGGCAGAATAAGAACCAACACTTGCTTCGCTCTTAGGATGTGCCAGGCCCATTCTCAGCACTTTACGAATATTGGCTGGGGTGTTCCTACAGCAACCTATCCTCTAAGTTCCATTATTATCCCCATTTTATAGACGAGGAAAAGTGAGACACAGAGAGATGACTAACTTGCCCAAGGTCATATAGGTAGAAAGCAGTGAAGCAGGGATTCAAACCCCAGAAAGTAGGGCTTGGGCCCTGGGCCTCCCTGCGCTCTGCTCCTCTACGGAAATGTGTAGCCCCCTTTCCCGGTACAAGCACCCCCACCCACATGGGGCCTAGAGCTTTAGTTCCCTCCTGCAGGGGGCAGGACAATGGCTAAGATAACTGCTAAGCCCTTCTGGGTTAGGGAACCCAGCTACCTGCCCCTGCCCAGCCGCTGCAGGCTTTGAATGGGCATCTATCTATGGCCAAGGGAAATCTCTGTCGCGGCACGTCTGGAAGGTGCAGACACACCCTCCAGATGTTTGTTGGTTTCAAGTTACCATAAAGTCACTGTGTTTCTGAATGTCTATTTGTGTTCCTCTGTGTTGTTTGGAGTTTATAGATGTGGCTGTTGCACTTCTTGTCTGTGAGTGTATCTACACAAAGGGGATGTTGTGGAAACTTGGTACCTGGTGCCCAAGTGTTTGCTGGAGTAGCAGGGTCCCGATATACGAGCCTGCGTCACGGTTGGAGAAGTACAGTGCATTTGGCTTTTTAAATTGTCCCTGAGGATGGATGTGAATTTGGTATATGCAAATATTTTCATCATTTGTGACTCTGGGGTTAGCTGCCCTTGCAGACGTGCATGAGGGAGGAAGGGCCATGGAAGTGAGAATCAGTCCATCACTTGTTACCCTCAGGTCCTTGCACTCATCTCCCCAGACCTCTGACCTTTCTGCTCCATCTCCCCCAGGTTTTTATTCTTCTCCGGCTCTGAGGTTGCCAATCAGGATCAGGTCTGCCCCTGGGGAGCCTGGGGCTGACTGAGCTTGTAGCGAGTGAGCTCAGAGACCTGTGGCCCCTGTGTCTTGTTTACTGACTCATGCGTCTTGTAAATACAGGGATGCCATGTTGGTTGACAGGGGCTCTCCCTGGGGCTCCTTAAGGGAAAGAATTCTCTGGCCCTTGTCTTCCAGGAGCTCTTGGGGGGCAACTCCCTGAAGAATAAGAGCACAGCAGAAACACTCGTGGAAAGGCACACAAGCCAGCCTCCTTTAATGTGGTATTTTCTTCCATCCGCTTTCCATACATTTACTAGTTTTTATAAGTTTCTTGCAAAATTACCTTCAGATGTCACATGTGGCAGCCATGGGGGTGTATTGCTGGGATCTTCCTTAAAGAAGGAATTTGCTTTTCAGCTTCGAGGAGTGCAGTTAACTAGGGGCCAGGCCCGTGGTTGAGTGGTTACGTGCTCCGCTTTGGCAGCCAGGGGTTTGCCGGTTCGCATCCTGGGCATGGACCTATGCATGGCTCATCAAGCCATGCTGTGGCAGCATCCCACATAGAACTAGAAGGATTTACAACTAGGATATACAACTATATACTGGGGCTTTGGGGAGAGAAGGAGAAAAAAGGAAGATTGGCAACAGATGTTAGCTTGGGGCCAACCTTCCTCAAAAAGAAAAAGAGTGCAGTTAGCTGACAGCCTCCAGCTGTTAGCATCTTCTGGCCCTGCCTCGCTTTCATGCAGAGGCCATGCTCTTCCTGGGGAGCCCTCTGCCAATAACTGAGCACAACAGGGTTACGAGGACCTGGCCATTTCTGCCCAATGCAGAACTCTGCTAATGTGCAGTCTGTGCTCTGGAGTTCCCCACTGGGTCGGCCAAGACTTTGTAAGAAATACATTGCAGTCGGAGACTCTCCCTACCCAGCCATCCTCCTCTCTTTCCTTTTACAGGTGTCAGATCAGCATCATGGTCTGAAGGCTTTCCTTGCTGAGCTCTACATGTTCTTTCATTGCCTCCCAATAAACTGTTGCACCCCTAACTCCATCCCAGTGTCTTCTTTGCAGAGCACGCTGCTGATACATCAGATAACTGAACCTGCTTTCTTCTCCAGCCATCTGATCCCAGAAGGTGAGCTCTCTTATAGCAATGTTGAACGTACACCATCACCTGAGGAGCTTGTTAAACCTGACCCAGGGGAACCTAGACTGCATTGCAAACAAGCTCCCCAGTGATTCTGACGCTTCTGTCCAAAGATCACGCTTTGAGTTGCAATCTTCTCTCAGACACACCCCAAATGATGTTTTGAAGGAATTATTGGCAACATCTAGATTATGTCGCCCAGAATGAGATATACAGAGGAGAACAAACGGGAGGTCTTTTCTCAATTCACAGGACTGGTCCTAGCAGACCACAGGAGGTCTTGTACGGTGTGCAGAACCACGGAGGAAAGAATATTATTAGAAGTAATACATTGAAGGGAAGGACGGCTGGGCTTGAAGAGAAAGGACAAGGAGAAGAGGAGGAGGATAAAGAATCTTAAATACATCTTTATTAATCTGCTCAAAATGTTTATCGAGTATCTACTGTGTGCAAGGCATTGTTCCAAGTTCAGGATTATATTGATGATCAAGATAGACATAATTCCTAACCTCTGTGGAGTTACATCCTGGGGAAGGCAAAAGACGCTGAGCATCTAATTTTATATTGGTTGTTTAATTACAATATTAAGGGGTACCGTCTAGAATATAGGGTGCTCTGAGAATAGTGGGGAGCCTGACCCCATCTAGGACCAGGAAAGCTCTCCTGAGGTGATGATGGAGAAAACAGACTATTCCAGGTGGAAGGAAACATCTGTGCCAAGGCCGAGGGAGGGAGGGATGGGGTGGTTCGAGGAACTGAAAGAAAGTTAACAGGGTTGACACAGAGGACTGGGGAAGAGTTGTCTGAGATCAGACTAGAGAGGTGGGGGAAAGCCAGATCACGGAGAGCTTTTGAGGTCGTGTTTCATGATCCCCCAGAAAGATGTAATAACACCTCCTTTCTTCCACCCTCGGATACTTTGCTTGTGTCTCTGTAAAGCGAATGTGCCAATATGCCTCTATTTTAGCTCTCCATTACTTGTTTTAGCCTCTTCTCCCCTCCATCCCCACTAGAATATATCTTTATCTCTCCTTGTGTATGTATGTGTATCTATCTGTCTGTCTGACTGTCTGTCTATCTATCCCATCTATGAATCGTATCTATCACAGCATTTATCTATCTATAGATGATAGGTAGGAAGGTAGGTAGGTAGATGGATAGATAGATAGGTAAAATAGAGAAGTGGAGATATCTTGAGATCAAGGACCACACTTTACTCACCTCTGATTTGCCTTACAACACCAAACATGGCGCCATGTCCATGTTATGAACTGCAATAAATATGTATTGAATGCACTTGGACAAAGGGAAGGAAATTCCACTGTGGAACAGGGAAGGAGGGCAAACTGAGGGATAGGAACTGAACTGGGGTTAGCTAAATACTTGAAGCAGGTGTGGAGATGGAACCTGACCAGAAAACGTTAAGACTCGTTTGGATGGTCCAGCAGGGGAAGCGGTCAATAAACTCTGCGTTGGCCCTTTGTCCAGGTTACGTGCATCACCTGTCACTACAGAGCTGCTCAACTTTGTGGATGAAAACAACTTTGTGGGTAAAAACAATTTAACATGTTGGACTGTGCAATTTAATTCCTAAATGGAGGTGGTGTTTGAGACCTAAAGTTACCGTAGCTCTGTTTATTATAAAGAAATAAACCAAAACCACGTGGAGAGCTGCTGAATTTTCATCTAGGTCAAGGAAAAAGCTTCTGCCATTGGACAAAATTTAAAGGGATGGGGGGGGCAAAAATTAAATTCTGTTCTAATTATACCACTAGTCTTTCTCGTCAAATATCAGTTTGCTCCTTCACCCTGGAGGGGATTATGGACATGGGAACCTAGTCAGGAATGTGACAAGAGGGTCCCAGCCATAGCCTAGGCTGACACACTGTGCAAACCAGGACAGGTACTAACCCGTCAGTCCAGGCTCCGGGCTCAGGCTATCTGCTCCTTCCTTCCGAGGGACAGAAAGGCTCTGCTGAGGGGCCCA